TCCTTTGTAGGTAACAGTCTCCTTTTCTCTTGCTGTTTCTAGGATTATCTCCTTATCTTTAATCTTGGGCAATTTAATAATGATAATGTCTTGGTGTTTCTTCTTGGATCCAACTTCTTTAGGATCCTCAGAGAGTCCTAGACTTGCATGTCTAGTTCTTTCACCAGATTGGGGAAATTCTCCTCCAATATTTTTTAAAATAAATTTTCAATTTCTTGCTTTTTCTCTTCTTCTGGCACCCCTATGATTCAGGTGTTGGAATGTTTAAAGTTGTCCCAGAGGTTCCTCAACCTCTCCTCATTTTTTAAAATTCTTGTTTCTTCATTCTGTTCCAGTTGAATGTTTATTTCCTCCTCCTGTTCCAAATTGTTGATTTGAGTCCCAGTTTTCTTTCCTTCATTGTTGGTTTCCTATATATTTTCCTTTATTTCACTTTGTATAACCTTCATTTTTCCCTCTATTTTGGAACCATACTTAACCCTTTCTATGAGCATCCTGATTACCAGTGTTTTGAACTCTGCATTTGATAGGTTGGCTATCTATCTCCTCATTGCTTAGTGCTTTTTCTGGAGTTTCAATCTGTTCTTTCATTTGGGCCATATTTCTTTATCTCAGTGCACCTGTTACATTGTAAGGGGCTGAGCCTTAAGTATTTGCCAGGGTCGGGCAACCCACTTGCTGCATTGTGGTGCTGTATATTGGGGAGGGGTCAGAGAAGGAACAATGCTGCTTGCTCAGGTCTCGCCCCTCTTTCCGTCACTTCCCTTGCTACCCGCAAGCAGAATATGTCCTTTCAGGTGCTGACTCCTGGGTGGGTGGGCGGACCTCTGTCCTAGGATCCCGTGGGCCTTTCCAATAGGCTATCCTGTGAGACTGGGAGTTTCTCCCCACAACTGCAATCCCAACAGGTTTTTACAGCCAGAGATTTTGAGACTTTATTTCCCTGTGCTGGGACCCTGGGTTGCAGGGTTTGTCTTGTTCTCCAGTTGTTCCTCCCAGCTTATCTGCATGTGAATGTGGGATATCCTGGTCTGCCAGCCACCACCTCACCTGCCTGGTCCACCAGCTGCCGCCTTGCCACGTGTCATCACTGCCCTGGTTGCTTGTCTCTGCCCCTCCTACTGGTCTGGATGAATGTTTCTTCTTTAACTCCTTGGTTGTCAGACTTCATACAGTTTGATTTCCTGGCAGTTCTGGTTGTTTTTTGTTTTTAAATAGGTTGTTATCCTTCTTTTTGTTGTGTGAGGAAGCGAAGCATATCTACTTATGCCTCCATCTTGACTGGGAGCTCTATTTTGTTTTTTAGATTCAATTGAAGACCCTTTAATATTTCTTATAATACTGGTTTGGTGGTGATGAGCTCCTTAGCTTTTTATTGTATGGGAAGCTCTTTATCTTTCTTTATATAGGTAAGGTAATCTTTGTTGTAGATCCTTGCTTTTCATCACTTTGAATATTTTTGGACAATTCCTTCTAGCTTGCAAAGTTTCTTTTGAGAAATCAACTGATGGTCTTATGGGAGCTCCCCTGTAGGTAACTAATTTCTTTTCTCTTGCTGTTTTTAAGTTCTTTGTATTTAACCTTTGGCATTTTAATTATGTGTCTTGGTGTGTGCTTCTTTGGGTTCTTCTGATGTTGGACTCTCTGTACTTCCTGGACTTGTGTGTCTATTTCCTTCACCAAATTAAAGAAGTTTTCTGTCATTTTTTTCAAATAGGTTTCCAATTTCTTCCTCTGTTCCTTCTCCTTCTGGTACCATTATGAATGATTGAATGTTGGTGTGGCTGAAGTTGTCCCAGAGGCTCCTTACACAATCCTCATTTTTTAAAAAATTCTTTTTTCTTCTTGCTGTTTTGATTGGGTGTTTTCTGAGTCCTTGCATTCCAAATTGCTGATTTGATTCTCGGCTTATTCCACTCTACTGTTGATTCCCTTTATATTGTTATTGTTCTTTATTTGAATCAGCGTATCCTTTGTTTCTCACTGAATCTTTTTTATACTGTTGAGGTTCTCACTAAATTCACTGAGTACCTTTATAACCTGTGTTTTAAATTCTACATCTGATAGATTGCTTGTCTCCATTTTGTTTAGTTATTTTTCTTGAGTTTTGTTCTCTTCTTTCTTTTGGGCCATGTTTCTTTGTCTCCTCATTTTGGCAGCCTCCATATGTTTGTTTCTATGTATCAGGTAGAGCTGCTACATCTCTCAGGCTTGGTAGAGTGGCCTAATGTAATAGATGTCCTTTAGGGTCTAGAGGCATGGCTTCTCCAAGCTGGGTACCCAAGGTGCACCCAGTGTGTAGGCTGTGTACACCCTCCTGTTGTAGTTGAGCCTTGATTGCTGTTGGCATGACCAAGGTCAGTCGCTGCTTGTGTTCTGCCTGGAGTCACCTGGCATAAGCTACAAAGTGATCTGCAGATGGCTGCTACTTGTGCTGGGCTTGGAGGTGCCCAGGCGAGGCCAAGCTTTGAACCAAGGCCGGCTGCTGCTTGTGCCAGGCCTGGGACAACTTAGTGAGAAGTACAGGGCTCACTGAAGCCAGATTTTGCTTGAGAGAATTTAGGAAAATCTGAGGCATGGGCCAAAGCAAGCCATTTGTATGGAAAAGCCACTGGAAACAGCTTGGGCAGGCCTGAAAGTTGGGTGGGGCAGAGTTTCAGTAAATTACCAGAGTGGAGCAAACAGTGTGAGCCAGGTTGATGGAATCTCAGATAAAGTGCCCATCTGCTGGTTCTGTGGCTTTGTTGGGGGAGGGTTCATAAAATGAAGTGTCCTCTGTCAGCACTTCTGTCTGGGAGAAAGCTGCTCCTCAGCTCTTACCCTAAAGCTGGACAATTCAGTTCCTCCGTGTATGTCTCTGATGCCTTTCAATCTGCTGCTCTTGTGATGGAGTTCAGAGGGAGTGAGCTTGCATAAGTCTGTTCATGGGCCCTTTGAGAGGAACTGCCTGGGACTCCAGAAGTTTTTGTCTTCCATAATCTCAATCTCTGCTGGTTTTTACAGACAGAAGTTATGGAGACTTATCTTCCTGGCACTAGAAACCTGGGCTGGGGGGCTCGGTGTGGGGCTGGAACCCCTTTCTTTTGAGATATCCCTCCTGATTTTTATGTGCCACATGTGCGTGTGGGACCAGCCCATTAGGCATCTCCACCCCTCCTACCAGTCTTGATATGGTTTCTTCTTGAATTCCATAGTTGTAGGACTTCCTTTCATTCAGCTCGATTCCTGATGGCTCTGAATGATGGTTGTTCTATGGTTTAGTTATAATTTTGATGTGGTTGTGTGAGGAGGCGAGCTGTGTTTACCTATGCCACCATATTGACTGCAAGTCCCCTTTGCCCATTTTTTAATCATTTGTTTTTCTTTATTTTACAATGCATGTGAATCTGCAATGATCTCAAAATAAAAAAGTTCACTAAAGAAATTTCTTGAGTTTCTTCAGATTTTTAGTTGCCTTTTCCTAAAAGCAATCTATGCCCTTAAGGGAAAAATTACCCCCAATATCTAGTTTACCTACTCCCAAATTGCCACCCATGTTTCTTCCCTGCCTTTTTAGCTCACCAATGCCTTCCAACAGTTGTTTTAAACATTTTGTCTAGCTTTTCTAGCTATTCTCAAAGGGAGAGTTGAACCACATTATTTAATCTACCATTATTGGAAGTCTCTTTTTGTTCAGCTATGGTTTTGCAAAAAAAAAAAAAAAAAAAAAAAAAAAATTAAATCAATTTAAAAGTAATTTTTTAAAAGCTAACTCTTTATGCAGATTAAAAATAGCACTAAATCTTTACTCAGTAAAAGTATTTCTTGAGATGGAGATAATATGAACTAGGTATATAGGGAGAAATGGCAGTTTGTTCTACATCTTACAATATTGTTTTAAATTAATTTTTAGAAAGAGAGATAGGAATGGATTGAGAGAGAGAGAGAGAGGAGAGGGAAACATCAATTTGTTGTCCCACTTATTTATGCATTCATTGGTTGCTTCTTGTATGTGCCCTGACTAGGAATCAGACCCTCAACCTTGGCTCCCTCTTACAGTATTTTAAGGGAGAAATATGTACTTGAAACAGTCTTACTGTCATAAAAATAGTTATTTTATTAGGGTATCTTGCTTAAACATCATCTCTGTAGAGAGGCTGTGCTGAGGGTCACTAAGATCACCGGCTGATAATTCACTAGGAAGATTCACAGGCCCCAGAAAAAGCAGCAAAAGGAAAAGGTGCAGGGGGTAAAGTCTGAAGGAAACCAGAGTCCTTGGAAGCATGCATCTGGTTGTCCAGGGTTTTTGTTGGGGATTTGCACATACATATAGCTCCTACATGGGTAACCTCGGTTGCTGAAGCTCCACACCCCCACAGAGAAAGCAGAAGTTCATTATAAGTCACATTGTTAGCATAAACCATCTGGATTAACTAGTGCAGTGTGATTAAAGGCATCAGGCATGCAAAAATACTTTTATCAGACGGAACCCAAGGAAGAGCTTAATTCCCAAGTGCCAGACAAGGCCAGACATGAAACAGGTCTTCCTTGAGAAAGTGCAGGGTTTGAGCAACTTAGGCCTGCCAAGGTAACCCTTTTTCACACTGAGGACTATCCTGACCAAGCCCGAGGAAGGAAGCAGCCCTTGTTACTCTCCAGTCCCTCACCCTGCAGTGTGTTTCTTAATGTCACTTATCACTCTCAGACCTTGGGCTAATACAATCATTTGCTTATTTGACACTAATTATTTGTTTATTATTTATTATCATTCTTTTTCCACTAGACTATAAATTCCATGAAGCCAGAGGCTTTATTTTGTTCACTGCTATATTCCCAGTGTCTAAAACACTACCTATAGTAGGTACTCAGCAGGTATTTGTTGTATAAATGAATGAATGAAAATGACCCTTTATGCAATTACTTAGGAATACCAATAATGTTGCCTCGATCTAAATTACTGGGATATGCTGTTATTCTATGAATGACAATTTTCCATATGTTTATTTCTGTCTTGTGAACAGGTCTACAACTCAGTAGCTAGATCTTTCCCTCGGAGGTTTGGAGGTTCGTTTTGCCCTTACAAGTCAGTTTGAATGCCCCTGAGGGGAAGAACCTAAACTTACTGTTGTATTCTTCAGCCAGTGCTGTGAAACAGGCTGATGGCAAGGTAGGCTATGAACGGACATTAGACTAAGACTTTGAATTTTAGTGGTGTCTTTTTATTCATTGGCTGTTCTCCACAGTGTTTGTTCACAATAAGTTTCATAACATTCAGCTGAGCAGGGTAAGGTCCTGGTACATTGCTTGCACAAGAACCGCAGAATTTTGGTTGGGAGCGAGCACTGTGTTTACCGATCCTTTTGTGTTTTGAAATAGCTATCTGCAACTTTGTAATGGTTGTAAAATGTTTAAACATTTGAGATTGGCATTGACCATCCCCACTGTTAAGATAATTTGTGCTTATTACAAGCAGATCATTGTGTAGCTAGAAATATTTTAGCTTTAGTAGAATAAAAAGCCTGCTTGTACCTCCTATCAGCTAAGTCACAAAACCTGATAATCTTTTATGCATTCATATATATGTTGGAAAGAGGAAAAATACTAAAAAATTACATAGAAGCTCTGTTTCTAAGCCCTGTTAGAAACTTAAAGAGTGTCAGCCCCGCTCACAGACCTGCACTGAAGAAAGTACGTAAGAATTAAGCAGTCACTACAAATCCTTCTGGGGCCTTTTTTAGATTTGGTGCTCTTATGAAAATCTATATCCTGAGAACTTAGAAGAGGAAGGAGGTGTTGAATTTCCCCAGATCAACTATGGTCAATTCAGTGGCAAAAAGTATCATTTCTTCTATGGCAGTGGCTTTCGGCATTTGGTGGGGGATTCTCTGATCAAGGTTGATGTGATGAACAAGACATTGATGGTAATGAAAATCTCTTTTCTTTTATACACCGTTAAAAGACCTGTTCTGCCCTTTGAATTAGTTTCTGTTTTGTTTAAGGTAGCTTTTGAGATTCTTTAATATTTAAGCAGCTCAGCCATTTACTTTTATTAAGTTTGAGAACCATGAAATTATGTAGGTAGGGCTATGTTCCCTCTAGGGAATCTAAATGAACCACAAGTCCAGAAAAATAATTCTGTGCTTGGTGTTATTTCAAGAGAAATCATGGGGTTAAGGTATGGCATACCTATATTTCAGGTTGATGGGAAATGGTAATTTCACAGATTGTGTTTGATGATGGAATCTGCAGCTGCAAAAGCTCCTTCTATCTCTCCTATATTGAACTCAGTAAGCCTGATTTTTTTTTTTTAAACTGTTGGGATACTATATTGACAGCCACATTCATGCTGGGAGGGAAAAAAAGCTGTTGAAAGCTTCCAGCTCCGAACTAGTTTTCTATCAAATACTTTTTGGGGGGACTTACAGGTTTGGAGAGAAGATGGCTTTTATCCTTCAGAACCTGGTTTTTTTTTTCCAATACCAGGGACCAGTGAAGAAGATGGTGGGGTTCTTCTTTCTGTGGTGATCACCCCTGACCACGTAAATGTATTTCCCTGTCACTAGTCAGAAAGGAAAGTAACACTGAGCCTTGTGAATGTTGTATTCAGTGATGCTGTTGATAGTTTATTTTACTTCCCATGTACCATCTTCTCTCTTTTCTTCCTCTCCTTATTATTTATGTACTCTTTTTATCATAATCATGCTCTTTTTTTTAAATTTCTATTTGTAGAGCTATAATAATTTATAGTTGCATAAGAATGCATTTACAAACTACTTTCATACATTTTATCTTATTTAGTCATCAAAACGACTTTGTGGGATACCATTTACACATGTGGAATTTGTAACTGAAGGTAGTTGAATGAGAATTGTAATAGATCTCATAGTAGTAAAGCCAGTATTTAATTTCAGTCTTCTCTCTTCTGATCTAATATTCATACCACAATCTGTGCTGCTAATTTCAATTGAGTGACCCAAAGTCTAATGTGGTAAGCCCTGACATGGTATCTTAAAACTATCTAACTTCTTATCTAGGGCAATCTTGTGGCAAATAGGTTCTCCCTGAGTACCAGGGTTTTTTTTCTTTAAGATTTTATTTATTTTTTTATTTTTAGAGAAATGGGGAGGGAGGGAGAGAGAGACAGGGATAGAAACAACCATTGGCCTCTTGCACAACCCCCAGCTGAGCACCTAGCCTGCAACCCAGGCATGTGCCCTGACCAGGAATCAAACCCACAACCTTTTGGTTTGTGGGACAACGCCCAACTTGCTGAGCCACATCAGTCAGGGCTGAGTACCAGTTTTGATCAATTATTAGTGGCTGGCTGGTGTGTAGAATTAAGCCTTGCAAAGGGTTTGGTGAGAAATATGCTCTGATCAATCTGTCAGGTCTGCCATGGGCTTAAGATGGGTTAGTCCTCATCCCATGGACTTGCCACTCCTGTAATTATACCTGGGAAGATCTCAGTCTGCCTGGTAATGTTACATTTGAACAGCTCTAAATCAACAGAAATTGGAGATATTTTTTTCTTTTTTTTAATCCTCACTCGAGGACCTTTTTTCATTGCTTTTAGAGAGAAGGGAAGAGAGGGAGGAAGGGAGAGAGAGAGAGAGAGACATCTATGTGAGAGAAAAACATTGACTGGTTGCCTTCTTGTATGAGCTCGATCAGGGCATGCACCCTGACTGGGGATCAAACCCACAACCCAGGCATGTGCCCTGATGGAGAATCGAACCCTCAATCTTTCAGTCTAGGGGGAGACGTTCCAACCAACCGAGCCACACTGGCTTGGGCTGGACGCATTTCTTATTTGGAAGAAAGAATTTCTGTGTCTCAGAAAATTGAAAAGGGGCAGGTAAATCCTTAAACTCAAAGAGATTCTATGAAGGTGATTGATATAAACAATGTAATTTTTTCACTCTAGGTATGAACTTCTGCAGCCGTAATTTCCTTTCAGTCTAATTCAGCATTGAAGCAAATGTTTAGCGAATGGATAGGCAAGGCACTATGTTGGGTGCATGGGACAGATAAGAAGATGAATAAGACATGGTCTCTCCCTTAGGAATTTTATAGATCAGTGGAGGAGAGACATATTTTTAATTGGGAAAAAACCCGATAACTTTCAGTATTGTCTTTTCTGTTCTAGAATAAAAGCAATTTCCTCCTAGTCTTGGATGCCAAGAACTTTGACGAACTAGGCCAAACAGAGGCCATAAGGCCTGTGAAAATGCCTTATGGGTTTCATGGCACCTTCGTCACCATGTGATAGAAGAACCACAAGGTTTGGGAACTAGGTTTAAAATGAATGTGCTCTGTACAAAAGAGAGACCAAAAAGGCCACCTTACCTTACAAACCATAAATATCTGGTTTTTAAATTTCTGTTAAGAACAGAATACAGGAGATAATTAGGGTTTTATATTTTCTTAGGGTTTTTCCTTGAATACATTAAGGTAGTGTTAATACAACCTTTTGAAGAGAATTTTAAATTTGTATTTACTGGATATATCTTCCTCTAGGTAACAAGAATACATGAAAGAAAAACTAGAACTGGGTCATTACCACCACCAGATAGGTGGGTGACAGAGATCCTCACACTTGGGAGAAGAAATACAAATAATTGTAGATAGTAAAATGTGAATATCACTCTGAAAAGTACCTGTTTTTTTTTTTTCTATCACAGCCTGCCTGTTACCACTGGTCCTCAGGTCCTCACAGGGGACAGGAAGCCAGTTAGGTCATGCTCGATGGCTCCTTTTAAACTGGCTGTTTCTTTGCAGCTGCAGTTGAACCACCTACTACCACCTCCCACTCTGCCCCCAACTCAGCCTTGGCAGGATGTTGTTTTGAAGGACACTGCTAAAATCTGGCATTTCTTCTAATCTGGTATATATCATATTTTGCCATGTATAATGCACAGTTATTTTGAGGGAAAAATGAGGATGTACATTATATATGGGCATAATGGTTACAAACCACGGGCATGATAATGAGTATAATAAACCCGTGTATAATGCGCTAAAAAATGTGGGTTTGCATTATGCACGGCAAAATATGGTAGTTCTTCAGAGAGTAATGCAAAATCGGTGGTTCTTCATTTAATTGGGCAATAGGTGGCATTAGAGACCATTTAATCTTGACATTTCTAAACCCCCAACAGTTTTTACTAATAGCGCACGTCAGCCCTAGGTCCGTTACTTAATCCACACTTTTGCCAGCACCCTCAAAATCCCTTGTTCCCTTTTCCTTCAGTTATACTCCTTCCCTCCAGTGAGTTCCAATCCTGGGCCAGTTAAACCTTCCATGCTTCCTCTGCATGTTGTATATTGCTGTAGACCACCCCCAAAATGTCTTTCAGGAGCAAATGTGAATTCACGGTTAGGCTCACTGCATACAATCCTGGACCAACATAGTTCCTTCTCAGTCTTCTTTAAGAGTTTTTGTAAACATCACAAACCCCGCCTCTTTAGTTAAGTGTTCCATACAAACAGATGCCACATGTGAAGGTTTACATTGTGACAATAAAGTAAAAGTTCTAAGTCTTGTGTTTGGGTTAGTGAGAAACAGAACAACAGTAGTAGGTACACAATGGCAAGAAGATGCCTAAACAGAACTAATATATCAAATGTGGGAGCTTAGTGGCCAAAGTAATCATAAGAATATAAATCCCCTGATATCTCACAGAAGTCCTCAAAAAGGCATGGTACTCCCCCAGACAAGACAGGGAGCTTTGATTTTATCTTGAGCTGAAGGGTGAAGGAAACTGTAGTTGACATCTGGGAAGTACACAGATCTGATCATGTCTTTCCTCTGTTTATAAACCTTTACTCCATCCTACTACATGGGGAGTGAGGCTTAAACATATAAAGGTTAGTAGTATAATCATAAGACTTTGACCCAAGGATGCCTGAATTCTGCTTTGGCCCTGCCATCTATGAAGTTCTTGAAGAAGACAAAAAGGGATCAATGATATTTTATAATCTAGGTGCGTATGCCTAGTAATCCAATGCAGAAAGTGTTGGTAAAACCGAGTGATCATGTAACTAAGGCTCAAAGCCTCAGCAGGGCCTCTTCCTCTCCCAAAGCTCAACTCATCACGGGCCAGTGTCTAGACACTCAAGGGAAATGTGGTCCACAAGTGAGGGGAAAAGGAATTAGGGTCCATCTTAATTAGTGACCTTGTCTTAACTAATTATATCTTCAAAGACCCTATTTCCAAATAAAGTTATATTGTGAGGTACTGGGGTTAGAACTGTAACATACTCATTTTGGGGGAGTACAATTCAACTGATAACTGGATCACTGAGGGTGAATATGGTGAGTACCTTTATATAGAATTAGCTTTAATAAAAAAATAATTTAGAGCAAGAACTACAAATTCAATGACATATTTTATTGAAGCAAATATGTAAAACAATTTCTCAGAAATTACTTCTCTTACCTTTTATTTTGATTTTTTAAAACTTTTTGGAATGAGTACAGTGTTTGTGTAACCAATGACTGTTGGAGTATCTCTGATGTAGTCAATGCCCAAGAAATATTGTTTATAGTATAAGTGATCTTGGTTAAGTAATTCACTTCTCTGGGCCTGTGCTTTCCTATCTGTAAAGATATTTTCTATATTAAATAAATTTCTGAAGTTTATAATTCTTTGAAGTTCTTTCTTTACAGCACAAAGGGGAGATGAGAAACATTTTTGAAAAATGTGTGAAGAATGTTTGCTACATAACATATTAATAATTTAATGCAGAACAAACACTATATAGCTGGAGACCTGAGACATTTGAAAGAAATTACCATTGGGGTTTATATTTCTGCCACACCCATGATTTCATCTATCCTTCCCAGTGTTGCAACAGTTCCAGTCTCACAGTAGATATTCAATGAATATTTAATGAAAGCATGAATGGAAGCAAGAGGTGACATGGTATTGGTGAGGCGGGAGATAGTCAGGAAGGAGGAAACTCCAGAGGTGCCCCAGGAGATAAAGAACATGGATAAAGGGCGGAGACCCTGTCCTAAGCCTGGTAGTTTCTGCATCTGGAGAAGCATTGAATCCTAGTGAATCAGGACTGCCCCTGCGCAGAAGATGCTACCTGACCCCTACTTCATTATAATCAATTAGCATTGTGGGACCCTCTTCCAGTAGCCCATGAAGGAAAGGAAGGCCCACCCTAAGGAATAAAAGTCCCCTAGCCCCTGAGTTCCGCCTTTTTTTTTTTTTTTTGCCTTGCTCCTGCTGCTCCTGCTGCCCCTGCTGCTGCTGCTGCTGCTGCTGTTAGGCTCTTCTCCTTTCTTCTCTGCTCCACTCTGCTCAGAGTTGGCCTGTTCCCATGTTCTGTGTGGCTTAATAAATCTGCTTTTCCTCACTTTCTGCTATAAACTCTGTGTGTTTGTCTCAATTTTTTGTCTGCGATCACCAAGAACCTGGTTACCTGTGCCCACCTGTGACAGTTTTTGGCGAGCCAGCCAGGAGTAGACACTGGAGCAGTAAGCCCCTTTGCTTCTCTGCCACTCAAGGATGCTCCTTTCTATTGCCATTTATTCTGTTTTGGTGAGTCTGATGTTCCCTGATGGAAGGTCGGCTGCTAAATTGCGGGCACGGGTCAGGCAGTTAAAAGCCACAAGGGCGCCCGCCGCTTGAAGACACTCGTGATAGGATAACCTGGGTGCGGAACGGGGTTAGTCTTAGTCCCTGCCAGGTGCAAGAAAATGTCCGCACACCGGTCAGGCACACTGTGAAAACCATAACACACTGCCCCACCCTGCGGCCGCTCCCTCATAGGCATAGTTTGACCTTCCACATGGGATATTAGTCACCACCTTGCCTGTGCTATGATTCCCTTTTTCAGTCTCCTCAGCAAGTCCACAGAGGATCTTCTACGCTTGTCCTCCTGAATTAGTTTTGGCCTTTATACCTGCACCCATATTCCACTTGCCTCTGTTTAGGTAGGGTTCCTGCTGTCTTTGTACCCAGAATGTTACCAAATATTAGACCTATTTGAGAAAGGGACTAGTTGTTCAAGGGTTGTGTAGGTTTTGGGTAGTGAATGTTGCTGTTGGGTGTCGGAGTCCCTTTGGGACATTGACCAACGCACGGTCCTACCTTCCCCTGCTTTGCCCCGTTAGGCCAGTCGGGCCGGTCTGGGGTGCATTCCTTCAGAGTAAGGGGAGTGTGTGTCCAGAGCCCAGCTAGACAGGCCTCTCACGGCTCCTAGCACCATCGGCTGTGTCGCAATGATCTCCATTACTTAGTCTGGAGCCATGTGGCCCATTCTCATAGCCCACTGGCGGGGAATTTTTCCTCCCCTTGCTTCCTGCTTGGTCTTTGCATTGTCTCTGCTACCCCATCCCCCATGGCAGCCCTTGTCCTGTTAGTGTTAAGGAAAGTGATTCACTGTGTCCTGCTTCTTGACTCCCATCCCCCATGGCAGCCTGCCTTGTGAAGGAAAAAAATGTCCTGGTTTTTTGGTACAATCTCTTAAAGCTTTATAAAATTAGGTAGAATACATGAGTGACCTCTTTGTGATTTGAAAAAGAATAATTTTGTAATAAGGTCACCTTGATGTCTCTCTTGGTAGTTTATGGGGCCAGAAACCATTTTGCTAGTAAGACACCTCTTTTTCACCAGACCTGAAGGCTATAGATGGAAAATACGAGTCAGAACATGTTCTGATGCCTTAGGTAGAGCAGTGGGTCTGGGATCATCAGGATTATAGGCAATTGCTCAAGAATGCTGGGGTGGTTCCTCCCAATAATTCTACAAAACTAGACTGGTTATCCTCTCAAGTCTTTGATTTCTGTCGGCCGACACTCGCTAGGATTTCTTTCGCCAGAGACGTCTGGTAGTTCGGTGGGATCCCGGGGGACGCCTTGTGGCCCACTAGGACAGCTCCTGAGGCAACCAAAGAGGGACGCCTCTAGGTTTCTAGGGAGTATCTTTCTCACTAGGATTTCTTTCGCCAGAGACGTCTGGTAGTTCGGTGGGATCCCCAGGGGACGCCCTATGGCCCACTAGGAAAGCTCCCGAGGCAAGCAAAGAGGGACACCTCTAGATTGCAACGGAGTCTCTTTGTGTTTCTCTTTAGGATCAGCGCAGTCTAGATGGGAACCACACCTTCCATCCCTTCCAAATCACCACTGGGTTGCATTCTTAGAAACTGGAATAAATTTGACCCTGAAAATCTAAAAAGGAAGAGATTAGTTTTCTTTTGTAACACCTTTTGGCCCCAGTATAAACTAGGAGATGGAGAGAGATGGCCTGCAAA